GTGGAGGTGGTGGTCGTAGTGACGGTGGTGATGGTGCTGTTGGTGGAGATGGTGGTCGTAGTGACAGTGGTGATGGGGCTGTTGGTGGAGATGGTGGTCGTAGTGACGGTGGTGATGGGGGTGTTGGTGGAGGTGGTGGTTGTAGTGACGGTGGTGATGGGGTGTTCGTGTAGGTGGTGGTCGTAGTGACGGTGGTGATGGGGGTGTTCGTGTAGGTGGTGGTTGTAATGATGGTGGTGGAGGTGGTGGAGGTGGTGGTCATAGTGACGGTGGTGATGGGGGTGTTGGTGGAGGTGGTGGTCGTAGTGACGGTGGTGATGGGGTGTTGGTGGAGGTGATGGTTGTAATGATGGTGGTGGTGGTGGTGGAGGTGGTGGTCGTAGTGACGGTGGTGATGGTGCTGTTGGTGGAGATGGTGGTCGTAGTGACGGTGGTGATGGGGGTGTTGGTGGAGGTGGTGGTCGTAGTGACGGTGGTGATGGTGTTGTTGGAGGTGATGATGGTGGAGGTGGCAGAGATGGTTGTCGTGGGGAAGTGCTTCCTTCTCTGAATCTATTCCTCTGACACGATGGAGGATAATGCAGCATCCCAACCTCAACTTCCTGCACTTTTCCAGGGAAGCAGGACTTTGAGTGTGAGGACTGTGCTGAACAGAGTTCCCTTTCAGGTGGATGGAAAGTTCCATCTAGGAGTTTAGGCACTTCTCTGAAGGCTCAGGCCTGGGGCAGGCCATACTACAGAACTCAGGCGCAGGAGGATGGGGCTGGGAGAGCCTGGGCGCCACAGGGCCGAGAGTGTGTGAGGGCTGCCGTGGAGAGGATGGGGTGGGGCCTGAGACCACTTGGGGGTCGGGGGTCTGAGGACTGGGGGACTGGGGGGCTTGGGGGACTGAGGCATGAGGGCTTAGCGGGAAGTGCCTCTGGGGGGCTGGCTTGTGGCTTTGCTCCCCACTAGGAAGCAAACTAAGGTCAGAGACAGTGGTGTGCAGTTAATGTCTAGCAACTGACCCTCTGAAAGGAAAAACATTGAAAAAGCCCCGATTCATAGTGTTTGCTTATCTCCGTGGTGTAAATGCTCCTGTGATGGCTGATTTTGAGCTGCGCATGTGGTGTCACTGAATGCAGAATCGAGAAGAGCCGGGCAGTCATGCAGCTGTCTAGTATTTCCGTCTTGCAGGAACAAAAGATGTAAGTCACTTCAAGAGCAGAGATAATAGTGAAATGTAGGACACGAAATGAGAAGTGAGGATTTTTGAGTATTTATTACCTTGGCTTACAATGCAATGTATTTAATTGTAAGTTTATATAATTTAATTTTTAAATATGGCGGTATATAACCACTGGCTGGCACACTTTTTGGTCATTTCCAGTTGGTTCTCTCGTGGGATGCAAGCCGACTCCAGCACACCACCGAAAGCGTTTGCGCGGGGGTGGCCGTCTGTGCGGTTGGGGGGCTGATGGATGTCGTTGGGTCTCTCTTCTCCTCAGGCGGATGTTCCCATTCTTGTCGTTTACTGTGGCGGGGCTGGAGCCCACCAGCCATTACCGGATGTTCGTGGACGTGGTCTTGGTGGACCAGCACCACTGGCGGTATCAGAGCGGCAAATGGGTGCAGTGTGGAAAGGCTGAGGGCAGCATGCCAGGTAGGAGCGCCCTGGGGAGTGGTGGGCACTCCTTTTCGCCGAGGCTGGGCGCCCCCTGGTGGATCCAGGAGGAACCCCCAAGCCCTTGCCCCCTACACCTGAGATTTAATTCCCCATCCCACCCTTAGCCCCTCCCACTTCTCACTCCCATTCTGTCTGTCCTCTTCTCTCTATTCTGTGTTAGCATGTCTTCTGCTCAGTCCCCTGCCCACATCCCCCCTTGCCCTGCCCCATCTGGTCCTCCCCCTGCAGCCTTTTTGACATCCCCCTCAGAACAGGCAAAGAAGCCCCACATAGCCGGGGGTCTGGTCCCCAAGGGGGCTGCGTGCCAAAGAAGTTAACTGTCCACAGGAAACCGCCTGTACGTCCACCCAGATTCCCCCAATACTGGAGCCCACTGGATGCGCCAGGAAGTTTCATTTGGGAAACTAAAGCTCACGAACAACAAAGGGGCCTCTAACAATGTGACCCAGGTGAGACTCCTTGCCACCCCCCACCCCTCCTGGCTGATTCCGTTCTGTAAAAGTCATTTTTCTTCCTCTCTGGCTCGTTCTTTTCCACACGCCTGAGGGGGTGTGGAGATGAGGTGGGAGGAAGCTGAATCTCAGGGGCAGACATGGGCTCGCATTCAGGATGACATGGGCCAAGCCAGCCTGGGGGTTTCTTCACCGAACCCCAGGCTGCCATCACTTGTGCACCATGCTGGGCATAGAGTTGGTGCCAGTTGCCCCAGGGAATGGATGCAGAGTCTCTCTGAGTTGAGCGATACTGTTAACAGAGCCCCATCCCTGAAAAGCCCCGCTTGTGCCAATATCTTGGTTACGATGCACATCTGGGGGGTAGGAAACGGGGCAAGAGGGCAGAGCTGGTGTCCTGGAGAGGCTGGGGACCAGAGCTAGAGGGCCTGGGAAGTGGCATGGTAGCAGAGCAGGGCAATGGACATGATGACCTCAAGGTCCCTTCTAGCCTGGCCATCGGGCCAGCCACGGGTGGGGGTAGAGGACCCTTCGACCCCCACAAGCATCCGGCTCTCTCTTAGATGATCGTGCTCCAGTCTCTCCATAAGTACCAGCCTCGGCTGCACATCGTCGAGGTGAACGATGGGGAGCCAGAGGTGGCCTGCAACACTTCCAACACGCATATCTTCACCTTCCAAGAGACCCAGTTCATTGCCGTGACCGCCTACCAGAACGCGGAGGTGAGGGCCCCCGGTCCCCCTGAGCTGCGAGGGGCACGAGGGGGAGAGTGGGGCCCACGGTCTTCCTCGGTGGGGAATTCGGAAGTTCCCTAGCCCTAGACTCAGGACTCAGGTGCCTCTATTTCCCCTCTCTCTAGATTACTCAGCTGAAAATTGATAATAACCCTTTTGCCAAAGGATTCCGGGAGAACTTTGAGTCGTAAGTGCCGCTGGGTTCAGCTCACCAAGGGCCCCCTCTTGGTATCTCCTGAGACTTGACTCCAGACATGTGCCGAGCACGTCTCCTCTCTGCCCCTGGGGCTGGGAAGAGGTGGGGTGGAGGCTTGGAGGGTGGTGAGGCCAGGGAAAGGGGGTCCAGGGAGGGACGTACAACAGGCAGGCTCACAGATGACCAGTTCCGTTTGTGACCCCGGTGTTCTTGCCTTCTGGTTTTTTGTTTTGTTTTGTTTTGTTTTTTTTTAGCATGTATGCATCTGTTGACACCAGCGTGCCCTCCCCGCCTGGACCCAACTGTCAGTTGCTTGGGGGAGACCACTACTCTCCTCTCCTACCCAACCAGTATCCCGTTCCCAGCCGCTTCTACCCCGACCTTCCTGGGCAGGCCAAGGATGTGGCTTCCCAGCCTTATTGGTTGGGGGCCCCCCGGGACCACAGCTATGAGGCTGAGTTTCGAGCAGTCAGCATGAAGCCTGCGTTCCTGCCCTCCACCCCTGGACCCACCATGTCCTACTACCGAGGCCAGGACGTCCTGGCGCCTGGAGCGGGCTGGCCGATGGCCCCCCAGTACCCTCCCAAGATGGGCCCAGGCAGCTGGTTCCGCCCCATGCGGACTCTGCCCATGGAACCCGGTCCTGGAGCTTCAGAGGGACGGGGGCCAGAGGACCAGGGCTCCCCTTCGGTGTGGACTGAGATCACCCCCATCCGGCCAGAGTCCAGTGACTCAGGACTGGGTGAAGGAGACTCTAAGAGGAGGCGTGTGTCCCCCTATCCTTCCAGTGGCGACAGTTCCTCCCCTGCTGGGGCCCCTTCTCCTTTTGATAAGGAAACTGAAGTCCAGTTTTATAGCTATTTTCCCAATTGAGCAGTTGACATGACAGAAACAGTGTCATCAGGTTGGAGAACACCAAGTAACGCAGACAGCCGACTCAGGACTGGGAGGCCCCAGCTCCCTCTGTCCCTTCTCCTTTTGTAGTTGGTTGAGGAAGAGGGGGGTCAAGAAGGCTTCTGGGGTTCACGTGCTGCTTTGGGCCCACAAGGAAACCTGAGAGGCGTGTCCCCTGCCCCTTCCTTTGCCCTAACTACGGTCATTTACCTGGTGCTGCTTCTGGCTGTGGGCTCCCAGCTGGAGAACAGATGGAACAAGAAGGTCTTGGACACAAAGGAGCTTCCTCTCTTCGGTGGGGTGGGGTAGGGGTCAGGTGGGGCAGGCTGGGCACTGCAGACTCGGCTGTCTTCCTTTGTAGAATGTACTTTCGGCAGTTCTGTTTGCATGTGTGAAAATAAAGATACCGTGGATTTGATGACAGCCAGCCAGCCAGCCGGGGTCGGCGAGAGGACTCGGATGACTTTGGGGCAGCTTGCCTGGGCCCCACCCGCTCGGAGACAGTGGGGTCCCGAGGAAGGGGCTGGGAAAGGGGGGGCTGGTGCACACCTCAAGAAGCAACGTTTTGGGGTGGGGGTTGGTTGTGTGTGTGAGTGCGCGCTTTTTTCTTTTTTCTTTTTTTTGGAACGGGGAGGCTATTTATTGTACAGAGAGTGGTGTCTGGATATATCTCTTTTGTCGTCATCACTTTCTGAAAATAAACGTGAAACTGTAGAATGTGTCCTGCTTCAGTGCCCTGGAGGGGGACATGGATGGGGACGCCAGTGGGAATTGTGAGGGCACCATCGCTCTCCGGCTGCAGCTGCAGCTCCCAAGAACTGGAGCCTCCTAGAAATCTGGAGTTTCATTCAGGGCACAAAGGGAGTCAAAGCAAGGCCACCCGCGTTACCATTGGTGTTCAGGTTGATGGTTGATTCCACCTTGTAAGGCATCTTGGGACAGAGAACGGTCCCTCTGTCCATGTAGCACCTGACCTGTGGAGGAGGGGAGGGAGGGCAAGACCAGAGGGCTGGGCTGGGTGGGGGCCTGGGGGCTCTGCGTCGAAGAACAGCCTTGATTTCTCTCGGCATGTCTAGCAGCTTTGGTTCTCCATCTTCATCTTAGGGGTGTTCAAAGGTTAAAGAAGTAAATGTAAATTGGATCCCATGAAATTGCTCTTTTTGACGGTCAAGAACAGCCAAATATTGGCAATTTCATATGATTCAAACTAGCATCTGTAAAGCGTTTAGAACAGTGCCTGGTAAACAGTAAGCTCTCAATCTGTACATTACTGTTGCTGTAATTCTCTAGCTCTGTTTTTTTCTCTCTCTTTACGCACATACTAAATTATGTTTGTAAAATGACATCTGCTTTTTTTAAAGAACGTAAGCAAGGCAGAAAAGTAAAAAGACAGCAGTAAATTTCCCCAAATCTTGCCACCCATCCATAATTATCATTTAATGTTAAATGGGTTAAATAGACAGAAATATATTTTTATAACATTGGAATCATACAGAAAGTGCTTTTTATTAAAAAAAAGATTTTATTCCTAAGTCATCTCTACACCCAGTGTGGGGCTCAAACTCCCCACCCTGAAATCAAGAGTTGCACGCTCCACTGACTGAGCCAGACAGCTGCTTAACCAACTGAGCCACCCAGGCGCCCTATTATATTTATTCTTAAGTATTAAGGTGTTTTTCTCTACACCCAACGTGGAGCTCAAACTCACAACCCTGAGACCAAGAGTTGCATGCTCTTCTGACTGAGCCAGCCTGGGACTCTAGAATCATGACCTGAGCCGAAGGCAGATGCTTTTTCTTCATGAAAACTATTGAATTTTAGTTCACAGGATTTAATAATATAAAAATGAAAACCTCATCAAGCAAAGCGTCAGAAACCGAAAAACTCTCAAGTGAACAAAGAGATGGCAGACCTCGAGATAAGTTGGGTTTTTTTGTTTTCAATGATTAAGAGCTATTTCCTGAAAGAGCACTCTAAGGTTAAGAAAGGAGCTCCTTTCTTACAAGTGTGGAATTACGCCGTTTGCCTCACCCCAGTTCAGGGCATACCCCATTCTAATGAGGCAGGGGTGGTGTTCTCTCACTTCTGTTGGAGCTTGGAAAACTTCATTTCTGTCACAGTTCACATCCCCTCCTTTCTTGGTCTCTCTCCAGAGGCCATTTTCATCACTTTATGGTCAGAAGAAGGAAAAGATAGGAAAGCATAGTTGGTTCCATCCTCCTTGGATTTGGATGCTCATAATTTTGTAAATGACATTAGGAGTGCCGTTATACTGAGCTCTGTGAGTGCAGATTATTCCTCCCCGGTCCCACCCCGTTGGCTGTCACTCTCTGGAGTTATTAAGTATTGGTATTAAATTGGGCCTTGGGAACTGTTGTTGGTAATTACAGTACTCTTCTCCCCCATTGTTTTTATTTTTAATTTTTAAAGTTTATTTATTTACTTTTAGTAATCTCTACACCCAAACCCAACGTGGAGCTCGAACTCATGACCCTGAGATCAAGAGTTCCATGCTCTTCTGACTGAGCCAGCCAGGTGCCCCATCCCCCACTGTTTTTAAATGGTTTTTGTTCCCTTCATTAGATATAAGTGAAGGGAGTTGTCTTTACACACTTTACTTTTTCCAGAAGTGTGGGGGCATATGTTTTGATGCTTTGTTATTTGACTCATAAAGGTTCATTACTATTATTCGTTCACTATTAAATGTACCATTTACTGAAAAGGTAAAATACAAAATACTAAGATATATCTTTATATTATCTTTCTATACATGAACATGGGTATTTCTTCATTTATTTAGGTCATTCTTAAGGTCCTTCAGTAAAGTTTTACAATTTGTAGGGATAGATCTTTTATATCTTTTATTATATCTATTCTTTTTTTGTAAAGATTTATTTATTTATTTGAGAGAGCGAGAATGAGAGAGAGAGAGTACATGAGAGGGGGGAGGGCCAGAGGGAGAAGCAGGCTCCCTGCTGAGCAGGGAGCCCGACGCGGGACCTGATCCCAGGACTCCGGGATCGTGACCTGAGCCGAAGGCAGCTGCTTAACCAACTGAGCCACCCAGGTGCCCTATTATATTTATTCTTAAGTATTAAGGTGTTTTTCTCTATAAAGAGTATCTTCTAAAAATGCGTGTTTTCCAAATTTTTTAAAAGTAATCTCTACACCCAACAGGGGGCTCAAATGCACCACCCTGAGATCAAGAGTCATATACTCTATTGACTGGGCCAGACAGGCACCCCTCTGATTGTTTATTACAACTGATTTTTGTATGCTGATCATAAGATGCAGCCACCTTGCTAAAACTATTATTATCTTTTAGTGATTTGTATAAATTCATCATTTTCTTTATGGCCAATCAGATTATTTCAAATAATGACAGTTTTATTTCTTCCTTTCTAATCAGTATGCTTCTAATTTCTTCTTCTTACTTTATTGCCCTGGCCAGAACTTAAGTGCTAGTTTCTTGCCTTTTGGTGGCTAATTCCCACCCCCCCATTTATTTCACTTTTCCCCTTATGTTGGTTTGGCATTTCTGTAATCTATTTCTATTATTTTAGTGGTGACTTCGTACATCTTAATATGTACATTTAACCTAACAAAATCTTAATGTCGAATGATATTTTGCCCTGCCTTCTGGTCAATAAAACAATTTTGGATTAGCTTTTATTTTCCCTCTCCTGATTTACTATTGTTTTCTCTCTTAATTTACTGATTTTGAACATTTCAGTTCTCTCTCGATACATGTTTAAAGTAAACTCTATGCCCAGCGTGGGGCTCAAACTCACAACCCTGAGATCAACAGCTGAATGTTCTACTAACTGAGCCAGCCAGGTACTCCTTCAGTTCTTTTTTAGTCCCCACAGATTATACTCCTGTATTACTTTGTTGAGATAGTAGTTGCTTGGGTTTAACTTTATATCACCATTCTCTTTGTTCACTATTTTTTTGCATTTCTATCTTTTTTTTTCTGGGATCACTTTCCTACTTCTTAAACTAAATCCTTTATAACTTTTTTTTAAAATATTTTTTTAAAGATTTTTTATTTATTTATTGAGAGAGAGAGAGAATGGTAGAGAGAGAGCATGAGAGGGAAGAAGGTCAGAGGGAGAGGCAGACTCCCTGCTGAGCAGGGAGCTTGATGCGGGACTCGATCCTGGGACTCCAGGATCATGACCTGAGCCCAAGGCAGTCGCTTAACCAACTGAGCCACCCAGGCACCCCCTTTATAACTTTTTATACAGATGGTATCTTTGTAAGTTCCTCATAAGCTTGTTTCTTACAAAAATTATTATTTTTCCCCTCGTTATTGGATAGTATTTTGCTGAGTATACAATTTTAAGTGGATAGTAATTTTTTCTTATTTTTTAGAAGCTATTCCACCATTTTCTGGCTTCTGTTGTTGTGAAATCTGCTGCTACTCTAATTATCATTCTTTTGTAGGTTATCTGTCTTTTTCTTTCTGCTTTCCAGATCTTCTAGATATATTTGATGTGCAACAGATTCGCTAAGATGTGACAAGGTATGAATTTATTTTTCTTGATCATATTTGGGGTACGTTTTACTTCCTGAATCTGTATATTCATGGTTTTCATTTCTTATTTCTTTAAACATTACTTCTTTCCATTCTCTCCAATTTCACTCTTTGGGACTCCAATCAGATGGGTGTCAGACATTCTCATTCTATTATTGTTCATGTCTCACAACTCTCTTATGTTTTTTCTCCTTGTCTCTCTTTGCTGCATTCTGTATAAATTCTTGAGATGTATCTTTTAGTTTATTTCTACTTTCAACGATATCTAATATGCTGATTAGCCCACTCATTGAAATTTCTTTTCACAGTTTACGAGGTATTTTTCATAATATTTTGTACATCTCCATTAAGTTTTTTTAATGTTGTGCTTTGCATTTCTTTCTTTTTTAAAAACTTTTTAAGATTTTATTTATTTATTTGAGAGAGAGAGAACTAGAGAGAGAACTAGAGAGAGCACAAGTGGGGTGAAGGGCAGAGGGAGAAGCAGGCTCCCCGCTGAGCAGGGAGCCCGGTGCGGGACTCAATCCTGGGACTCTAGAATCATGACCTGAGCCGAAGGCAGATGCTTAACCGACTGAGGCACCCAGGCGCCCTCTTTAAAATTTTGTTATTTTTAAGTAATCTCTACACCCAACGTGGAGCTCAAACTCACAACCCTGAGACCAAGAGTTGCATGCTCTTCTGACTGAGGCAGCCAGGTGCCCCATGCTTTGCATTTCTATGAGTTCTATTTTTTTCCCAAATTATATAATCCCGATGATTTCCCATTATATGTTTTCCCTTGTAACTGCATTCTTTATTTCTGTAAACATTCTACACACAACCATTCTATATTTGTATTTGACAATTTCAGATAATACTGGAGGCTGTTTGTGGAGGGTGTGGTAGGAGTGTTCTCTAAATATGTTGATTCTTCTGATTATCACTCATAGTGGATTTGCCTTCTTGCACACTTGGTGGTCTTTGTAAAGTTACGTCTGATTTTTTTTTAAAGATTTTATTTATTTATTTGACAGAGAGAGACACAACGAGAGAAGGAACGCAAGCAGGGGGAGTGGGAGAGGGAGAAGCAGGCTTCCCCCCGAGCAGGGAGCCCGATGTGGGGCTCGATCCCAGGACCCTGAGATCATGACCTGAGCTGAAGGCAGACACTTAACTACTGAGCCACCCAGGCAC